TGGCTGCCTTGAGAATTCTATCTTTGTTGATTTTTGATAACTTTAATACAATGTGTCTCGGTGAATGCCTTTTTAGGTAGAGATAATTGGGTGTTCTGTTGACTTCTTGATTCCAAGCTCCAGCTCATTCCTTAGATTTGGGAAATCCTCATCTACTATTTGTCTGAAAATGCTTTCCAGCCCTTGCTCCTTTTCCTCGCCTTCAGTAATGTCTATTATTCTTATGTTTCCTCTCCCGATGGTATCAGCTAGTTCTTGTATTTCTCTTTCATTATTTTTCATTCTTTGGTTTCTTCTTCCTTCTGATGCATTTCTAGATTTCTGTCTTTGATATCACTGATTCTTTCCTCCATTTGGTCGACTCTTATTTCCCAAGCTTGTTATTTCATTTTTCAACTCTTGCAGTGTGTTCTTCATCTCCAGTTCTATCTGGTTCTTTTTGAGGGTTTCAATCTCCCTGCTCTGCTCATCTAGTTGTTTTTTCAATTCCTAAAATTGTTGATATGATTTGTTTTCAATCTCATTGAGTTTTTTTCAGAAGTACCATCCTAAATTTTGTCATTTAAGTCGCATATTTCTATGTAAGTTTATTTTCTGGAGATTTTTATTTTGTCACCTCGGTTGTTCATGGTGTTTAATGGACTATTTCTCCACCTGGGCATTAATGGAAGTGTATTTATGCTGTTTTCCAGAAAGAAGGTTTATTACATAAAGGTCTGTCTGTAATCTGTTGCAAAGAAGGCGCTTTTCTTTTGGTTTCCAGTAGGTGGCATCTAAGCCTCTTGATCCCTGCTTTATATAATGCCTTAAAGTACCTGTGGTAGCTCTTATGTGCACATCCCACACTCAGACGTGCTGGTGTGCAGTTTGGGTGTTTTTTGTTGAGTTTTAGATGTTCCGCTTATTGTTGTTTCAAGGGGAGAGATCTGGGAATGTCTCTCACTCCGCCATGTTTTCTGTTGAAATTCAGCTCATCATCTGCTGGGAATTGAAATGTAGCTTACAGGGCTAGCAGCTTTTGCTGCAATTGGAAAGGCCATTCACAGCGATGGCTGCCCAGCTGTGAACACTTGGTCCTGCCTGAATCACTCAGAGCTAAGCTTAGCAGCAAGCCAATAACAGTGCCCTGGGCAGTCAGAAGGTTGGGTGGGGCGGGGTCTCAGAGAGATTGTGGCAGTCAGATCAATACGGCCTCAGTCTTGCTGCAAATTTGTAATTGTTGTGAGTTCTCACATAAGACCCAGGTCACAAAAAGACCAGCTGCTGTCTGAGACTGGCCCACAGGCCCTCAATAATCTGCTCAAGTTCGTGATGGTATCAGTGATCTGCCTACCCCTACCTATGAAGTATGGCTCACAGCACTGTCGCTTGCTAGGAATGGAAATGCAGCTTACAGGGCTGGCTGCTTTTGCTGAGATTGGAAAGGCCACTCACAGCGATAGCTGCCCAGCTGTGAACACTTAGTTCTGAATCACTCCGAGCTAAGCTTGGCGGCAAGCCAATAATACCTGCCTTGGGTAGTCTGCAGGTTGGGTAGGGCAGGGTCTCAGAGACAGTGGCTGTCAGGTGAAAACAGCCTCAGTCTTGCTGGAAATTTGGTGACTATTGTAAGTTCCCACATAAGACCCAGGTCACAGCAAGACCAAGTGCTGTCTGGAACTGGCCCACAAGTCCTCGATTTCTGCCCAAGTTCTGCCCAAGTTCGTGCTGGCAGCAGCAATCTGCCTGACCTTATCTCTGAAATGGGGCTCACAGCGCTGTCCGCTGTCACTGGGATTAGAAACTTTGCTCACGACAATGGCCACCCTGTTGTGAATACTTCACTCTCAATCACTCAGCTCAGGGCTTGGCAGCCAACCATAAACAGCTTCCCTCAGCAGTCTGCAGGTTAGGTGGGGTGGGCTGATCCCCTCAGACCAGCATCTCCTAATGGCTCTGTGGGAGGGGTCTGCACGATCAAGCTGGCATGTTCTATAGGGGGGCTGGACTAAGTCACAATGGTGGCTGCCTTTCCAGCCTTCTTTCTGACTCCAGTTAATGGAGACTTTTTCAGAATGAATCCCGCGTGAGCCTCAGACCCACCGCTGATGTCCCAGGTGAGTGTCCGCAGGTCAGAAAACCTTTGCACGTGAGGATCCTTCAAAGGGACGTCTAGGGGCTCAGTTACCTACTGTCTCACCCAGACGGCCAGAATCTCTAGTTTCTACAATCAAAGTTATTGAAATCTCCTCTTCCCTGGGCTGGGGAGCCCGCAGATGAAACCAGGACCCCGCTCTCTCCTTCAGGATAGCCTCTGTATCCTCGCTCTCCCTCCCAGTGATCCTCCACCACCCATGGATGGGAGTCCAGCCCAATTTGGGACTTTGCCCCTCCTACCGGCTTCGATGTGGCTCCTTTATGTTATCAGATGTAGGTGTTATGATCAGCTGGACTTCAGGTGATTCTTCATGTTGATTATTTTATAATTTGGTTGTAACTTCAGTGTGGTCCTGGGAGGAGACGAACCCTGCTTTTACCTAGTACTCCATCTTCCCCGTCTCCAATTTCTTTCAATTAACATATTTTGTGATTAACTTAGGAATGACCTAGGATTAACTATTATCCTAGCTGCCTTTTTAGAAGAAATTTCATTATCATAGGGCTGTAGACTTTCGTTAATAGTGCTGCAAAGCCCTCTTTGCTTTGAATTTTTCAAATGAAAATAGACTAAGCTGCTGGTTCATAGCAGATTCATAGCCTGAGTCTATTGATTGACTCCTAAAATAACCATCCTCAGGCCTACTTATTCTTATATCCACATTGTTGTGCAACCATCACTAAGTTAATTCTTTTTCAGTATATCCATATGCTACATCTCATTGTCAGCACCAGTAACTCCATATCATTCTCCTAAATATCATTTGCAACTGGAACTTAATATTTTCTTATCTAAGGAAGAAAATATGTTGACTAAATAAAAGATGCAATTCACACTATTACCATAATAGATTTTCCAGCCTGAGGTTTCCATGACATCAGCAAACTATTTCCTACTAACCAAATACAATTGTTTTAATAACTGTACTAATAACTAAACTCAGCCCACAACCTTGGATATTTGGGAAAAAATACTCAAATCTAGAAATGTGTAATAGTGATCACAATTTTTTACAGTAAAATGTTGAGTTTTTTCCTATAAATTAGTTCCACTGTGGCTCAATAGGATAAGGGCAAGGATGGGTCAAAGAACAAGAAGATATATAGATACATAGATATATATATCTGTAACATATATATTACAGGTAATCCAGAGCTGCACATAATCAAAAGCACATCCCATTGTATAGGCTTTATGTTTTACCCTTTAGAGAAGAGTTTTCTAAGTTTCCTGATAGGCATGTCCGAGTAATAATATATTAACGTGTTACCAACTTTAAAAGAATGAATGACAAGGGTAAAGACTGGAATTGGTCATAAGTAATTCACCTGATTAATATCCACTCCAGCTAATTAGGGCAATTTGGTTTTGGCATATTCGGATTGTAATAAAATTTTCCTTCTTTCCAAGTCATTCCAAATTATGAAATATTAACTAATCACAGGTTGCTTAAAGCAACATTTATCTGTTTCAGGAAGTATTTACTATGACTTGTTTGGAAGAATGATATGATCTTTTTCTCTTTTTGGTAGCTCCCTCTTATAATCATTAAAATATGCCTGCTATTAATGGGGGAATCCATATACACAATCAGGAGCTGACAATTCTTAGTCAAGTGATCTTTTTAATTTTAGAGGGCATCTACAGCTCAAGCTCATGTGCACAAAGCAAGAGTTTCCTCTTCACCATAAATGTAAAGTACACTGGCTTACACCTTATTGGGTCCTGATTATATCAGTCAAACCTAAGTGGTGAAAATACAGTGTCCATTCAACCAAATGCTAAATGAGTGAATAAATATTTCAGGAAAG